AAGTCCACTCATCTTAAAGTGGCCAAGTTTGGACAACACTGGCGGTGGTGGTGGTGGTGGTGGTGGTGGTGAGGCTGGGGTTCAAAAGGGTAGGTCTAGGCTTGGTGGAAGAAAATGTTATGAACCCTTTGGGACTGCAGCAGACTAAATCTAAAAGAGTGGCTGGTAGCTGAACTCAAGTTTTCAGCCCACCGGTGCTTCTGTTGATAACATTTCTGGTAAAACCTCTATCTCAAATAAATTATTTATTCAGCATTTAAAAAAAATAACAGAACTAAACAGGGTTTGGGTTTGGCTGCTATGCTGGCATGGGAAAAGATATATGAAGTACATTATATACATACATACGTGTGTGTATGTGTGTACTCTATTATCTATCTATCTATCTATCTATCTATCTATCTATCTATCTATCTATCTATCTATCTAGTACAAACATTGGTTTAGGGCAGTGTTTCTGAACCTCAGCAACTTTTAGGTGTGTGGACTTCAACAACCCATGGCTATCTCCAACATGGCTGGCTGGGGAATTCTGGGAGTTGAAGTCCACACATCTCAAAGTTGCTGAGCTTCAGAAACACTGATTTAGGGAATACAGCACAGTATTTGGCCAGCTAATTTGGGCCAGCCCTGGTAAGATGGTTATTGAGGTTTAAATGTTGCCCGTTTCTCTCTCCCCCAGGTTGACATGTATGCTGGAGCTCTCTTCATCCAACAGGCCCTGCACTGGGATCTCTACATAGCCGTCATCAGTTTGCTGATAATCACTGCAGTCTACACTGTGGCAGGTAGTTTTTAACACCATGAGAAGAGAAGTCTGTCTTTTGCAGTTATTTCTGGGCCGTGAGCCACATGGAAAGCGCTTAGAGGAATGGCTGACATCGTTTGGCTGTTCTATCACCCGACTTCAGGGCGCTGAGGTTTGACGGATGCATAGGGAGGGAGAGTGTGCACCTTTTGAAAATTTAGGCACGTGGGGAGATTTACATGATCAAACTGTAGCATGTGATTAGGTGACTCACCTAATATAGTTGGGTTGCTTATAGCTTGACCTTTTAATTGATTAATCAATTTTAATTAATTAATGTGTATTTATTTTTTAATTGTTTGTGGGTTGTGTTTTAATTGTGAGCCACCCAGAGTCACCTGGTGGGGGAGATGGGTGGCGTACAAATTAAATAAATACATACATACATACATACCTGGAACATCGGTTAAATTCTGCTTCATGACCATTGGTTCTTCTTTGGGCTTTGTTGCCTTTTCTCAAAGCTCATTTTGCCCACGGTCTGCAGCCCAACTGCCAACTCAGAAATATAGTGAAGGGGTAGCACTTGCAAGTAGGTAAAATATTACTCATGTTGCATGCTTTGTAAAAAATAACTTGGATGCACAGACGTGCTTTTCAAGAAAGAAAACAACCCATCTGAATAACTTCAGGCTGACCTACAGAGCAGGAACAGGTTGAAATTTCCAAAGAAGAGATTATTCTGTTCTGGCTTTCTTTAAAAAAATACACTTTTCATCTTCCTTTGCTTTGAACTCTTCAGATAACTGATGTCCTGAAAGTTTCCTTCTTTGAACTTTTTAAAAAGTTAAAAAGACATGGTGTCCAGCTGAATAGTTTTGTGTACTGCCCAGAAAACTACTTGTTAACAAGTAACACCAAAACATGGGAAGTTAAACTACACGGTGAAGGCACGTGAAAGGCCAGTCCTGATCCATTGCTAGACTGCTGAATGGCGATGGGTGGGCAAAAGCTCCTAACTTGCCAGGCTACCAACCACTTCTCCTCCCCGATCCCTCAAAAGTCGTTTGAAGATGACAGCAAGAGTTAAACGACGTTCCCACTGAAATCTGATGCAGGTCCTGCAAAATCGCCCCCCCCCCTGTGTCCGCTGTATGCAAAGGGAAATAAAATTGTTTCTTCACTTTCCAAGATCCAGAACTGCTTTCCAACTGGCGCATCATCCCTATTTGGAAAGTCTTGTTATTTTAAAAATAGCAAAATCAGATATAGGCTAGTACTTGTGGTGCAAATAATCAAGTGCATGGTACCCTTGACTCGGGGTTCTAGTTAAAAATGCAAACAAGAAACCTTCAAAGAAATCCCCCAGTCCTTTAATCCTTTGATCATACCTGAATTAAAGCATCAGCCTTCTGATAGGTATGAAATGAACTTTCAGTGTCTGGGGCGTTTGGTTTTTTTGAGGCTCCTGGGCCTGTCCAGATTTTTGGCACAAACTGGGACCCAGTCCGGCTCTTGCTCCTTTCTGCAGGTGGCCTGGCAGCAGTGATCTACACGGACACCCTGCAGACGGTCATCATGTTGGCTGGCGCACTCACCTTGATGGGCTTCAGTGAGTCCCTCGTGGAGAGCTTTCCGAATTGCCTTTCCTTAGGGTACTGTCTGTAGGAGGCAGCTGAACCGGTCCATTTCAACTTTTCCAGGCTTTGCCAAAGTTGGAGGCCTTGAAGACCTGAAGAACAGATACTTCAAAGCCATTGCCAGCGGCCACAATGGAAACACCAGCTGTGGCTTGCCAAGAGAAGATGCGTTCCACATATTCCGGGACCCTGTCACGTCCGACTTTCCCTGGCCAGGAATCCTAGTTGGAATGACCATCCCATCTCTGTGGTACTGGTGCACAGATCAGGTAATTCATCTCATTAGCGAGAGCTTTAGAGGAAGAGGAATCGCCACCATGGGCCAGGAAGAGGCACCATGGCTTTAAGGGAGCAACTCATAACATGACTCACGCAGAGGGGTGAAAAAAGATGGGGTTCCTTTAATTAGGAGCCGGGTAATATGCTTCAGAATGTTTCTCCAAATCACTTTTGAAGCATGGCAGCTGAAATGTCTGTCATTATGGGAACAGCACTGTCATCTGCCTACGGCATGATATGCTATCATGGTAATACTCATGATACATGCTTGTAAGCTGTCCAGAGTCACATTTTGTGAGGTGGGTGGCTATATAAATTTGGTAAATATGTAAATATTCATATTGTTGGCTCCTCACCATAATCCATCCTTAGTGTGTACTCTGAATGAGCAGCAACCATGCAGATGACACCCCTTCCCTTTTCCTGGCTGTGCAGACATTTAAATCCAGGATCCCCACACTCATGAACAACACAGCCCACCTTCAGAAAGGACCACATATAAGCATCTCAATTACTACTGCCCATTTGGGGTAGAGGGAAGAGGGAATGGCCTAACAGTCAGATAAGCGGGGCGTGAGCCCAGGCCAAGAAAATAACTTGAGAAAAATTCTCCAACAAGCCCACCCCCCGCAATTCACACGAAGATAAAGGGTGGGAGGGGGAAGCACATTCAGACTTGCAAGATTCAGTTCCTCCAGCTTTACAATAAAAGTAGTCCTGACCTACATGGCGTTGGTTTCTTAGTCTGGTCTACCTTTTTGGGCTGACATTTGGATACATCTTCATTTGTCTTCAAGGTTTTGGACTGAGAGGTGTCCGCAGGGTATGGTCAAAAAAGCCAGAGTGCATAAAAAACTGGTGAAGCTTTGACTGCACCATTGTGGCCACCATCTTGATTTTTTCGACCACACCTTGCAGACACCTGTGCCTGGACTTTAAAGTTGGTGTGGTGTGGGAGGCTGTTCTAGGTGAAGAAGAAAAAGTTGATGCTTTATACCTTTTTCATCGAAAGGTCATTGTTCAAAGATCTCTCGCAGCAAAGTCTCTTTCGCATGCCAAAGGTGGCGCACTGTTGGCCTCCTACCTGAAAATCCTGCCTCTCTTCATGATGGTTTTGCCTGGCATGATCAGCCGCATTCTCTTTCCAGGTGAGCTCCCTAGAATGAGGCCCGTCTTCTCAGACTATTTCTTCCTGGGCTCACCCAGGCTAGACTAAAACCAAACCAAGTCAGCCTACGAAGAGAAGCATAATTCACAAAAAAACCTCAAGTGCTTCTTCTTTTCTATATGTTTTTTTTAATATAGAAGCCCTCTCTTTCCTCTGCGCATAGTTGCGACAGACATCCTGTCCTGTTTTTTATAAACAAAAGGATGTTGGTCTTTTTACATTCATTGCGTATTTATTGATGATTGTGGTCCCTCTCTAGGTTTACACAACATCAAAACTAAGATGTGGATTGCTTATTTGTGCTTAAGATACCATGTGAACTCAACCCGGGTTCTTTGTAATCTATGTATGATTGATTGTGCTGAATGAACTCAGTCATTGTGTTTTTTTTAAAAATAGACTATGATTAAGCAAATTATAATCCAATTTGACCAAGCATGATGTGGAACATAGCCACTCAGTTGGGTTCACACATTAAGCTATGGTTTTCTTAACCATAGTTCCCTGGAAAATAATACATTTGACTGGGTTCATAGAAAAAGCTACCTCAAAAACAAGCAATCCACACTATATCTTGGAGCAGTGTTTCTCAACCTTGGCAGCTTTAAGAGGTGTGGACTTCAACTCCCAGAACTCCCCAGCAGCATGGCTGGCTGGAGAATTCTGGGAACTGAAGTCCACACCTCTTAAAGTTGCTAAGGTTGAGAAACAGTGTCTTAGAGTGAAATGGGAACCTGGCCACTGTGGAGAACCAGGTATTGGCGCTCCTGAGGAGGACTTGCAAGTGGAGGGGAAATGAATTATGAATGCAGCTTGCCTGCCAGCTCCTCAGGTTGACCATGAATACACATCCCCAGCAGAGAGAGATGCCCTTGATCATGTTCAGAGTGAAATACCACAGTCCCTCCCTCTGCTGGTTATAGAAATGGTTGGTTGACTTAAAACAAAGGGTGGAAGGCATAAGAGGTCTGTCAGAGGCCATGGAGTGAGACTGGGAAAAGCACAGGATGCTGTACCTTAGTTCTTCTCAGCCTCTGATTCAGGTTTGCAATCCGAGGTCAAAGGTAAGCCCAGGTAATTGAAGCAGAGGAACTGTTTGCTTTGGACAACTGCTCTTTCTGTAGAAATAAATAAAACTTGTAGCCAGGGATTTGCATTACATTTATGGTTTCTGTTTTCTGTGCAGTGTTTACGCCTCATTTATTTCATGTTTTTAATTCTCTGTACAAGTTATACAAATGGGTCTTTAAATTTTGGCAGCCATTCATCCTTCAAGTTGGGTTCACTCAGTTGTACCTACTGCACCCCATAATCTGGGCAGTTCAGCATTTCTCTCCTTCAATATGAAATGTTTTAATATTTACAGATAAAAAGGAGTTTTACATTTTTAGAAAAAAAGTTTGATTTTGTTTATCCCCTTTGAAACTGGCATATCTCCCAAGGGAGAAGGTCTGAATCTTCTAGGTATCACGGGTAGCCAGAAGTTGGCTATATAGAAATTATTTCAGCATTTGCATTTTGATCTTTTAACCACCGGAAAGGCAGTTCAGGGTGTAAGAACCCTGATTTTCACACACACACTAGATTTAGAGATTAGAATTCAGTTGGTATTCTTGGAAGATAGGTGGTAACAGCAGGAACTACCAGTCTCTACCCCAGGATGGGCTGGGCTGGGAAGACCCTGAGGGCTTCCAAGAGAAGGAGGTTGGGACTCCCAGGCTCCCATCCTCAGGCCCCATTCTACTCTCCAAATGGCAGCCCTGAATCTGCTTTCTAATCAATTTTTAATTTTTTCAAATTGTCCAATCTTTCTCCCACCCTTCATAACGCTTTTTCGTTATATTTTTTTGCAGATTTAGTGGCTTGTGCTGATCCTGAATCCTGTAAAGAGATCTGTGGCAATCCATCTGGATGTTCTGATATTGCATACCCCAAACTTGTCATCGAACTTCTGCCACTAGGTAAGGGACTTCTCATCAACCCAAACAGGGATGTGGCTGACAGGCAGAGCCACAGTATGACTCTTGTGAGCCTTGGCGCTTTTGCCTTCGTGGGCCCCTCCTTCCTAAAAATAACAGCATTTAAAATTAGATTCCATGTGAGTTTCAATATTTTCTTTGTATTTTTACAGAGAAATAGGGCATAGTAAATAATATAGGCATTAGTTTGTAATCACATAATCAGTTGTTACCAATTAATTCCGATGTCTGATGCAGTTACTAAATTTTAGTATTCACTCTACGCCTATAGAGGTTACAAATGAGATCATTGCTTTGATGTTCAAGCTCGGTGTGTTTCTTGCCTGTTTTTCATTAACAGGCATGAAAATCAATAACTTCTATTTCATTTCTATTCTTTCTGATATAAAATAGATAAATAAATAAAACCATTTAGTGGGCTTTAGACACTGTGCCTGTTGTGTCTAATGGGTAAGCCTGTCCTGTGCAGAAAAGTCAGCAGCAGCTGGAAAATCCATGACAAATCGGGTTGGGGTCAGGGATCCCACGTTTAAGAGAGGAAAAGAGGCAGGAGAAGGCCTGGGTGCGTTTCTTCAGCTTCTTTCCTTGAAAGGAGCTTCTCTTCTTTTTTAGTTTTCAGGCAGAAAGATGGTGATCTGCTGCATCTCATAGAGAAAGAGGGAGGGAACTATTAGTTTAACTTCCCTCATAATGAGGAGAGAGAGGGAGGGAGGATTTGTACCCTACATTATTTTAAAAATTGAACTTCACGCCTGAAATGGAGGGGAGGTGAATTAACTAGCATGGCTTTGAATGGGACAGGAATCCATGATATCAACCCTACTGTTCATTTGTTTGATTACAGATGGGCTTGTAAGGGGCAATCTACATTTTTACATTCAGTGCTGTGATTCTGAACTAGGTTTGAATAGTTTGATTTTCAGTTACTCTGCCCGCTTGTGGAGTCCTAATATTTTGTCACTCAAAGGCAAAAGTGACTCTCAGAGCTGATGCTCACCTCGGCTCTCATGCTATAATTCCAGATCTTTAGTTTATGAGCTTGGGGGACTATTAGTTTGTGGGAATATACGTTAACAAAATTTTAAAATGTGAGTGATCAGTCTTGCTGTCTTGCCATGAATTGCAGGGCTCTTGGGCAATTAATTCTTTCTGAGCTTCTTCAATTGCAGGCTTTGTTTAGCATCAATAGCCACTGTAGGAGGCCTCAACTATGTTTGGGAGGGGGCAGGTTGAAAACAGTTCATGTGCATCCCAGTGAAAGTGTTTACTGTGAGAAAGAGGTTGTGGCATATTCATGGGGGCGCTTATCCCTTCAGGCGGGACACTGTAGAATTTCACAGAAGGATATGGAAATCAAAAGTACGACTAGAAGAGCTTCCAGGGAAGAAACAGTGAACTGAAGATGGCTCCGCGAAAAGTGGAGCTGATGACGGTGGTGGAGTGAAGAGCCAGCAAGTGGACTAGCTCTTTGTAATTCCTCTGTGGACAAGGAGAGGACTTGAGATTGGCCACAAGTGCTCCAGACATTTGCTCCTCATGAGGAGACTGCAAGGCAGCAGTCTCCGGCAGGTTTAGAGCTCTGGGAGACAAGGGAATAGCCATCTTCCTTTTTTTGTACGTTAAACATACAGTACACACATCCTTTAACTGTTCCTCATAGGATTTAGTTTCCTGGCCTTTCAGTATCTTATGAACCGTGAAATCTTATTTCCTTTTTCTGATGTGGAAAGCTCTTTAGTAGATTGTGGGAATGCTGTGTCATAATGTATCTTGATTTTAGTAATGCATTTGATAAAGTACTACATGACAATCTAATTAGCAAGCTTAAATATGGGCTGGATTACCTGTCTATTAAATGGATCCACAGCTGGCTTGTCAAGCATACTTAGAGCGTGCTGTCTAAAAGTTCCTCATCTCACTAGAGTAATTATTGAGTGTGGTGCCAAAGGAGGGGTCTGGTATGTTATCTTTTTCATTAATTACTTAGATGAACAGGTAGAGGAAATAATTACAACATTTGCAGATAACACAAAACTGGATGGAATACTTTCATTTCAGTGATTTTATAAGTCTGTGAAAAGTAACTAGAATTTTTTTATCTTTGTCAATGAAACAATTCCTGATTTTATTCTTTTTTCCTGGAGTTGGATGCAAGCTATGAGTTAGCAAATAGCAAGAACCTTCTGAGCTAGCTACAAACGTCTTTTGGTGTCCTGGTGTCTTACTCATTCAGGAACTTTCTCATCCAGGCTCACCAACAGCCTCTCTTTTTGCTTCCAGGACTAAGAGGGCTTATGATGTCGGTCATGATTGCAGCGCTGATGTCCTCTTTGACTTCAATCTTCAACAGCGCAAGCACCATTTTCACAATGGACCTTTGGCGACATCTTCGACCTCTGTCTTCTGAATGGGAGCTCATGATTGTTGGCAGGTAAGACTTCCCAGCCCATGGTACACATCTAGCAAGAGTCCCAGGAGTGCTCTACTCTTAGGAGGCAAGCAGTAGCCAAACAAATGATGGAAGAAGCCCTTCTATAAGGGCCGAGCCTGCTCTGAAGGTCATTTGAAAGAAATGCTTTGGACTTCTTGTGTGCGTACAGCACCTCTCTGATGGTAATTCAAGAAGCCTGACTTTCTTCAGGCTTCAGCAATGCAGCACTTCAGCTTGCACCTCAGCGTTAATGAATGGGTTTGTTAAAGCAGCGGCAACTTTCCCTCGCACTCACCCAGAAGCCTGAAAAAACTCAGGCTCCTTCAATGAATAGCAGAGGAGGGTTGTGCTCCTGCAGGGCCAAAGCGCTCCTTCCCAACTATTGTCAAAGCACGCTCAGTCCAAATCCACAGTTCCAAAGCTTCTGATGAGCCGTCATTCATTTAGCACCATGATCCATTCATCCCCAGTTTGAAGACCACAAAAATGAAATGACCAGCCACGGCCTTTCTTTTCCCTACAGGGTGTTTGTTCTGCTCCTTGTGGTCATTTCAATTTTGTGGATTCCGCTCGTACAAGCGAGCCAGGGGGGGCAGCTCTTCATCTACATCCAGACCATCAGCTCTTATCTGCAACCCCCGGTGGCCGTGGTTTTTATCTTGGGGTGCTTCTGGAGGAGAACAAACGAGAAGGTAACTCCACGCCGAGCACTTTGGGGTGGCCTGTGAACTCTTGTGGTTCTAGAAAAGAGGGCAGAGAACTTTTTTCTTCTAACCCGGCGTGGTTTCTTTTCTTTTTTTCCCTTCAGGGTGCATTTTGTGGCCTTTTGGTTGGAATGGTAATGGGCCTGATCCGGATGGTTTTGGATTTCGTCTACTTGCAGCCGGGGTGTGGGGAGCCAGATAACCGGCCAGCCGTGGTGAAATACGTCCATTATCTCTACTTCTCCATGATCCTGGGGGTGGTCACTCTGATCGTGGTGATGGCTGTCAGCCTCTTGACGGAGCCTCCTCCAGAGGAAATGGTGCGCGCATCTGAAGGGGCTTTGTTTTTCAGTGCCCTGCTTAGAGAGATCTGACTACCTGGGGCAAAATTAGTCAGGAAGGATTTGACCTAAGAGTTGCACTTAGGAAAAACAGTCAGCCAGATGTGTAGAACAAATGGCTGTTTCAGTAGAAATATTTTTTTCTTGATTTTTCTCTGAATGAAGCTGCACAGCCCCAAGCTTCATCAAATACCAGAAACAGAACATGGGCTGGAGTTGCCTATTGAACAGTACGCCTCGTTCCAAAGAAACTTCATGGTTTAGCGATGGGCGTTTCTGTAGAGAGGTAAAAATGTGGGGCATCCATGAGAAATGTGCAGACTTGCTACTCCCATGGATCCCTATTTTAGCAGAGGCCAGGACTTATGCAGAACTTTTGAATTTTCTCAGTTTTAGCTGAGCTGGGAATCACCTTAGGGCTCTTCCACACTGACCTTCTACACTCCTTGCCTCACCATCCAACCTACGCAAGACTTCCACGCTGCCACGCGAGTGTCCATAAAGGCTCTGGGGTTGGACTGGCAAGCCTGTGGTGGAGCACCACTCCCAGTTGCTGGCAATGGGGAACCCCCTTCTCTGGCTAGTCCTGTAAAACTCTTGGTTTTGGAGCAGGAATTGGGCTGGTTCCCCTGCCAAGGTAACCGGTTGTCTTTCCGGCATCGCCAGAAGCTGCATAGTATCATGGGGATGCCTAAGAGTGGCACCGGACTCAGACTGTGGTGCCCTTTGTGTGTGGAGTGACTCTGACTCTGGGAAAGAAAGCTGTTCTGTTGAATGTCCAAACAGGTCAGCCGTCTTACCTGGTTCACCCGCAAGGATGTCCCGAGAAAGAGCGATGCTCCGCTTGCATCTAGTTGTCCTCTATCCATTCCGGTCAAAGGAATCCCTGAGGCTGGTCCTTCTCCTCTGGGGCAGCTGGAAATCACCGATGGCCCTGAGAACACTTGCAAAAACAGTCCGGGTAAGAGGCCATCGGGGGCAGTAACAAAACCTTTCATTTGATGCGTGCCGGTGGTTGGGGCTACGGAGGGATTGGATGTGGACTCCCTCCTTCCAAGTGACAGGCCTCAGTAGCAGAGGGCAATTGGATAGAGGCCCATGCGGGATGTGGCCCCCAGTCACATCCATGCTCCAGTATTTGAACTGGTCGGGTGGATCCACACTTTTTATTCAGGGCAGCAAAACTGACTGATTGAAATATTGATCCCAAGTTATTTTAGCATTGTACCTCCCATTCTCCAAAATGAAAGGTAAGAGAAAACCATTGGAGAGAAAATGATCTTGACGTGCAGTGAAAAGGGGAGGGTTCATACATACCTCCTGCCTCCCACCCCAGGCAGGCGTGGTAAGGTGAGCTTGTGCCCCCCCCCCCCAAACTCAGACTGGTGGGTTTTCAAGTGTCCATGAATCAGGAAAGCAGAAGGACTTTTGAAATAAAGTGGGCAGGAGCAGAATCCCCTACAGCGACCCTCAACTGGTTTGCTCAGCTGTGCAGCAGGTCCCCAAACTCTCAGGGAGGAGGAGGAGGAGGAGGGCCATTTCCACTGTTTTAAGGGATGCTGAGATGCAACTTTGGGGGGCAAAGCACGTCCTTGGCTCCAAAGCTCTTCTAGGCAGCCCATGTCTGGGCTACAAAATGCTGGATGCCCCCCTCGACAGCAGCAAAGAGGTTAGAAAATTGTACATTCGTAGAGTTTTACAACTGTACAACGATGTTCAGAAATCCCCAGTCAGGATCCGAGGGAGCTCTTCAGGAGAGGAAGGGAAATTCCACAGTCTTGCAGTGGCCCCTGGAGGTGATGCTTGGCAAAGTCCAGGAGATCCCTTGCAAATGGTGTGGGTCTCGCAAACCTTTTGTAAATTTGTGAAGGTTAAATTAGGAAATTAAATCTACTAATCTGAGATGTAAGATCTATAATGACAGATTCTGGGATCGGCAGTTAATCTGCTTTTTTTTCTTTTCTTTTTGGTGCCTTCGAGTCAGTGTTGACTCCCGGCAACTGCCTGGACTAGTCCCTGCAGTTTTCCTGGCAAAGTTTTTTTCAGAAGTGGTTGGCCCTTGCCTCCTTCCTAGGGCTGAGAGGGACTGACGGGCTCAAGGCCACCCAACTGGCTTCGTGCCTCAGGCAGAACCAGAACTCAGAGCCTCCTGGTTTCTAGCCAGGTGCCTTCACCACCACACCAAGCTGAGCCTTAATCTCCTGTAATGATTCCAAAACGTTAGTTATCAGTGTGGTATCCTATTATGAAATGTCAAAGAGATGTAAGAGATGTCATTTCTCTGAGAAAGCGGTCTGAGTCTTTCTCTCAGGAGATGACAAGTTCTTTAGGTAAGAAGCAGTAGAAGTGTCTCGGGGGGCAGAGCCAGCAGTGGGGGGGCAGCCCTCCCCCAGAGACTTCTGCAGAGCGAGTGTTTTCTGTTGGCTCAGGCCCACCTTGGCAGCCCTTGTGTTGGGGGAGCTTCCCATCCCAGCTGCACCGTATTGTGAGAGCACCCAGAACATGCCAGCAAACACCAAATGTCAAAATGGGGACCTTTGGGGTGCCTAATGGAGTTCTCACTGCTGATTGTCTTGCCTGCAGGTCCTTTGGACAAAAAGAAGAAGAAATCTAAATTAATGAGCCTGTTTTTGTGGCTCTGTGGGATGGAGAGCAGAAAGAAGGACACGCCGGAGGCAGCTGATGAAGTCAAAGCAGGAACAGCGCCCGGGGCTTCAGTTGACGAAGCCCCTTTGGTGAGGCACATCCTCAATGTCAACTTGGTCTTGTGCATCAGCGCGGGGGTCTTCCTCTGGGCCTACTTCGCATAGCATCGGACTATGCCAGCCACCGCAAAGACACTCGTAGTGCTTCTGTGGTTCCACACGGGAATGACATCCAGAACGAGGAGGATCAATGATAAGATGAAGTAATGATTCTGCACAATATATGTTTTTTACATTCTGTAGGAGGAAAGGTAGAATTCTGTGAAGAATGACACAGCTACCTTGGCTGTGTCATGGTAGCTAAGAAAAGCCAAATCCCTTTGTTATAAACGCAGCACATGCAGTGCATGTAGAAAACGAGCAGGACGTCGTGCGGTTGCAGCTGCGCTCTTGGCTCTTTGGTCCCCGTGGGGGCCCTGGACATGGGCTCATGGACGAACGACATCCCCTGGGTTCGTGGAGCTCAGAAGTGGCCAGATGTGCCCTTTGGGGGGAAAGGTAAGATGGCAATCGAATGGATGGTAATAAAAGCCGGCGGCAACAACAGCATATTGTAGGCAACTGACCCAACCTTCTTGGAATATGGAAAAATATTTGATGAAATCAGATCTGGATGCAATTATATGCAAAGTTCTGCTGCAAGTTTGCTCGGTGGCAGAACATTATTTTAACAACACAAGTTTTGTTGGTATGTACTTCCTTGCAGTCCCATGGCCCTGAAGACGGATTTTGTGAAGGCTTTTGTTGTGCCATGCTGTGGGAACCCAGCGGCTGCCTGTGGAGGAGAAGCAGGGAAGAGGCAGCCCCCCGGCACTACTCACCCTCAGGGGTCATTGTGGACAACGTTGTCGCAGCGTCCGACTGGGGTCTGTTCCTTAGGCCAGTTCTCTTTCCTGGCCGTCCTCTCTGAGGACGCTTCGTGGAACACCGAAATCCCGAAGCAAAGGCATTTGCACGTGCAGTTGTACCCCAAGGACACTTTGCCGTGCGGATGCTGATGGACAGGAAGACCCCCTTGCTTGGTGAGAGCGAGCGTCTCCCCGGCACTCGGCTCCCGGCACCAGCTGCAGATGCCCCCGTGGTTCAGCAGTGGGGCAGCGGCACAGGAGCCTCCTCAGGTTGGCAGCCTGAGGACCCCCCACCCCCCACCCAGGCAGGAAGTCCATTTGAACCTCAGGGCCAGCAGCCATTTCAGCTGTTGCCGTAAGGCCGCCTGTTCATTATGGCATGCTTGCGGTGACACACTGGGCGAAGCCTAATAGAGTGTGATGAATTTGGGCTTTATGAACCCAGACATGTAAATCATGGTTTGTGGTTAAGGGTAAAGCCAGTGAGGCAAACAGCTGCCTTCCTCGGTCTGAACTCCAGCCCAGCAGGCCTTCAGGTTCTCGGGCGCAAGGAGGTCCGAAGGTCCCCGGCATTGGCTTCCTGCTCAGGTGTGTCTGATGTACGGGCATTTTTTCGGTGGAATGATACGATGCTGATCATGTGCTACAAACAGTATTAGGCCCTGATAAAAATGTTGCCTAGAAAAGTACGCGAGAAGCTGCATCTTTAGCCGGAAATGAAGCTCCTGTAGGAAGGATGAAAAACCAAATGGCTTTCCCACAGAATTTCTGTGGGCAGAGCTGGAAAGGAATGGGGTTCCCGTATATTCAGCAGAGGATCTGTTGGCAGTGTCCCTGTTCCTGGGTACGAAAATGCAGATTGTATTGTTTACAGATTATTTTATAAGCAATGACGTGTTTTTCATGGTGTTTAAAAAAGATCAACACAAGTATTGCTATTTATTACTCTGAGCAGAATGATGTGTCTGTGCAAAAATGCCCCTTTTCCTCTGGGCTCTGCTGGTTGTGTTCTCATGGGGTCCGTTTTCCTCGCGAGGCAATAAGGAATCTAGTTTAAGTCTATGTTTACCAGGTTGGATGTCCTGCAAGACGATCACACAGAACATCACCTGTCTGAGCTTTGCAGGCCTCCGTAGGGTTTCTGTGCGTGCCACTCTTTTTCCTTTGGCATTTGCAGGATAAATTCTATAACAATAAATACGTAAATCTCAAAGCTGGGATTCTTGTGCGAGTTTTCACGGAAAGAAACGGACTGGCAATAAACTTGTTTAGGGAGCTTGGTGACTTCTGCGTGCTGCTTTCTGAGCGAAATGTTTATCTTCACAAAATGTTCTATTCCAGGTCACCTTCTTTAACTGTCAGCACGTGATGGAAGGGTCCGTGTGTGAAAGTGGCTTCTAGCATAAGCATTTCCTAAGGCAGGGTTCCTCAACCTCAGCAACTTTAAGATGGGTGGACTTCAACTCCCAGAATTCCCCAGCCAGCCATTGTGGAGTTGAAGTCCACCCACCTTAAAGTTGCTGAGGTTGAGGAACCCTGTCCTAAGGAACCAGCAGCATGGATCCCTGGGTGCCCCATGTAACAAAGTCAAGGATCAAATAAAAGCACTAACGTTTCCCATGGTTTGGATCTTATTTTAGTCTTGAGTGAAACATTCAGATGGCCCAACGATCTCAGCTCTTCACAAACATTGATACTTTTTTTTTCATAATCTTCCAGAACTCCCATTTCTGTAGCTCTTGGTTTTCCTCAAGACAATCCTGAAAAATGATGATAGCATGTCCTGGACCCTCAATTTCTACAAGACTCTTTCCAAACCTGATGTCCCCCAGATGAGCAACAACTTCCATCATTCCTTGCCAGAGGGCTTGTTGGCCCTGATAGCTGGGGATGATGGGAGCTGAAGTTCAGCAGAGGTCTGGCTGGAAGAGCCTACAGTGTAACTACACTACAGTGTTGGCTGCTTCCTAACAGAATGGTTTCCTTATGCTGTGCAGATCCATGTTGTGTGCTTCAGCTAATTTCCTACATGTTAGTGAGATGAAGAGATTCTTCCCATCTCACTGGGAGAGCAAACAGGACTTTGAGGAAAGGGAAGCAGCAGACATTGGGGAAGAACCAAGGAGGAGAAGTTGCTGACATATTGCTGCTAGTGGTTGTTTCCTAAGGACTGTTGATTGCACATAGTAAGGCTGATGCTCTTTTCTGTGCTTGGAGTATTGCTGAGTTAGCTGAGCCTGCTTCCGGGGACATATAAGGAAGCCAGTTCCCCACTGAGAGTGAGCTCAGTGAGCATTCAAAGAAGATTTTGGTGAGAAGGGTTTTTTCTTCCTCCGCCTCCATCTGCTGTGGAACATGGAGATGGAAAGGGCTGCCCCTGCAGAGGATGAGCTGTGTTTGTTTTCCTCCCTGAAGACTGTTGGAGTAGGACTTCAGAGGTACCGACCCTCAGCCCCTGCTGAATATAAGGAGACCTTATATTGTGACCTGATACTGTCACCTGTTGGGGGAGATGGGCGGCATACAAATTCAATAAATAAATAAATAATAGCTACATATATTCTCTTCTATTGGTATTACAATATAGTAAAAATCTGCTCCATTAATTGTGGCTCAGGTTAGAGCTCTGGAACACTCTTTTGCATGCACAGACCTCCTTTCTGACAAGAGCCACATGGTTTACAAGTGGAAGGACTGAGAGTGATACACAGGCTAGGGAGGCACCCAATAATGAGTCAGTAAATACAGTGAGGCACAGGTACACTTCTAGGACTCACTGTCTGTGCACAGAGCATAGGAGCTGACCTGGTAATATGAACCAGTAACACGAACGTGGGAAGGCCAATGTGCATTGATCCACCTTACTGAAACTTGGTAGGACGAAGCTTATGGGTGGACTACAAAGATAGGCAGCCAAAGGAAGAGGACAGGCAAAAGGATGTGAAGATAGTGCCCTCCTGTACTGAGATCCAGGAATCTGACCATGAGAGTCCAAGCAAGAGCATTTGGGGAAGAAGAGAAGGAAGGGGAAACAAGAATATGACTCCTTGGGGAAGGGGGTGCTCCAGACTGCCAAACCCAGGCAGAAGATCCAGATAATTTCTCTCTGGACCGGGTTACAGAACCTTCATGGAGGAGAGATGGGAGATTAATTCTCCAGACATATGTTGGAAAACTAGCCCAGCTAAAACTGCAAAGTCCCCAAAGTCATCCGTGGTCTCTCTGATTGATTCATTTTTCAGAAGGCTGAGGAAGAGACAAGGCTGTCATAAATCTGATCTTCCCAAAGGGAGAAACTAAATGGAGAGATAGAAGCTGTGGGGACCCTGGAAGAAGTGAATGTGTCATTGCCGATTTCAACATATTACAGAAAGATATAGAGAAATTAAAAAAAATTATCTTAGATAGTATATTCATCTTAACAGTCAACTGTGATCCTAAGGAGAATTTTATGTGTTTTTACTTTGTACTGGGTATACTGGCAGAGGATTGGAGAAGGACTTTAATCAATCAATCAATCAATCAATCAATCAATCAATCATTATTGTTCCTACCTTTAAAAAGAGGGAAAAAGAGGACTGGATAACTACAGACCAGTCAGTTTGACTGTGATGCAGCAGAAATTCTGGAATGGACAATTAAGCAGCCATTTTGAGAGTTTTTAGAAAAGAAGCATTTCTTGGCCGGAGCCAGCAATGGGGTTCTTGAGAACAAGTCTTGGCCAAGCAACCTGATCTCCTTCCTTGATCGAAGGACCAGTTTAGTTGACCAGGAGAACGCCATGGACAGGGTGTCCCTTGAATTTACCAAAGCATTGGACAAAGTCTCCTAGTACAGAGGATGGCAAAGGGCGGGCCCCACTCTGCCTCCTTTAGCTGCCTATAGGGCTGGCTGAACAATTGTTCTAAGTGTCCATCAAGGACTCCAAATCTAGCTGGAAGGAGATGTTATTAACTGGTGTACTGTAGAGCTCCATGCTGAGTCATGCACTTTTCAACATACTTATAAATGACCCGGAGGTTTATTTAGAAAAATACAGTGATCTAACTTGTGGGTGATAAAAAGATGAGGAGGTAGCAAATAGAGGACAGTATCAGAATTTAGGAGGAACTTGTTAAGCTAGAACAATGGCAGAAGCCAACAAGATAAATTTCAAGAGGGAAAAATGGTGAGTCCTTCATTTGGATGAGAAAAATCAAAACCACGAATATAAGATGGGGGAGGCCATATTGGGCAGGAATATATGTGCCATGGATCTGGGTGGATCACAGCAAACAGGGGCCACCAGTGTAATGCAGCTGCTAAAAAGGCAAAGGCAGTCTTGGGCTGCGTCGATGAAAGCATCATATCCAGACCCAGAGAAACCAGATACACTTAAAATGCAGTGTCCAGTTCTGGGCGTTGCATGTTCTGGAGGACACTGACAAATTAACTCAAGTGTGTCCAGAGGGGAGCGGCCAAGACGATTAAGGGGCCTGGAAGGAAAGCCTACAGTGCATTTGGAAAGTATTCAGACCCCCTTCCCTTTTTTCAG